GGGGTGATCTGATCAATGTTTACAAATATCTAAAGGAAGGTGAGAAGCAAGTGATTAAGGCCAGGCTCTTCTCACCAATGTGTAGTGATAGAACAAGGAGCAGTGGCCTAAAATTTGGCCATAGGAAGTTCCGTACATATTGAAGAACTTCTTTACAGTAAGGGTGATGGTGGACAACTGGTGGTACTGTTCTCCATCTTCTGTGGAAATATTCAAGACATTGAGGACCCATCTGGACATCTACCTGTGCAGACTATTTTAGGGAACCTGCTTTAACAAGGGGGTTACAGTTGATGATCTCTTGAGGTCCCTGCCAATCTCTACGATTCTGTGATTCCTGTGCCAGGTCTGTAATTTCAGATCTCATTTAAGTTACGTTGTTCCACTATTTAGGTAGCAGGAAAGACATGGTGTATTTTCTACCTGACAAAAGTAATGTTCAGGAGGTACAGCTCCGTATCTAAGACAGTTCACTTGCCTGCCATTCTGGATTCTTGCTACGCCATCATTTTTTCTCCATGTGTAATTTAGTTGACAGTTTCTAACTCGTATAGGATATTTTCAGATTCAAAGAAAAATCAAAGATTCCCAGCTTGAAATGTTAGAACTGCGTAATCACACAAGTAACTGTATGATAACTTTAAGCTCAGGGATGAAGTTTGACTACATTTGGAGTTTAGAGTTTTAATGTGTTTTTAATATCAACAGCTGTAATTGTTCCTTAACATTCTTCCTAGATATATTGTGTATGATGTTGCTCAGGTAAATCTGAAGTACCTGCTGAAACTGAAATTCAACTATAAGACATCACTCTGGTGAACAGTAATTAGGAGTCCTGTTAGTTATACTGTAGTTGCACTATAGCGTTGACTTCTGACATGCTTAAGCATTGACTTCACTTATCAAGATACCGAGAGCTAAACTGCAAGAGCGGTTACTAAATCCTATTTAGTACAACAGTTAGTGAAAGTTTTTATATAATGTGGCAACACAAGGACCTGAATTCTGTTGAGAATGCGTAGTTGGTTTTGTGTTATACCACTTTTATTTGTGGGGGCTATCAAGTGTTTCTTTCGATTGGCCAAACAAAATGAATGACAGCAACAGCAACAGAACTGTTTTTTAGCCAGAGGTGGGCAATAGCAGAGAAGGAACTTGAGGGTGTTTGTCATGTTTGCTCTGTTAGGGTTCCCACTTGTTTAAGATACCCTTTTTTTCAGTTCTCATTTTGAATAAATGATAAATGTGCATTTATTTTGAGGTTTAAAAAAAAAATAAAAGATAATTTCATACTAACAGTTTTACGTTTCAAAATTTCCAAATTGTTCTGCTTTGAGTAATCATTTAAACGTTATCTGCTGGCGTTTTCTTGAAGATATATCTCTCTGAAGGTCAAATGCCAAACATTAAAATCTGCAGCAGTCTTACCTCAGGAAGTCACGGTGAAATGAAAATTTGGACTTTCCACTGAGACTTCATCTGTCAACAGCTGATGTGGTAAACATGAAAAATGAGCTTGTAGCTGTTTGAATCTAGTGTTGGCCCCAATAAACCTCATTTAAACATATGCTTTCAACATGATGTAAATCGGTTGTTGTAGACTCAAGCCTTATGAACTCCAAGTTGAGTTTGGGTGTTAGAGGGTAAGCTTCACTTATCATGACCTGGAGTGAGGTATATTGCCACTCTGTGGGTGCACTTGAATTTCTTCTCTTGAACTATCAATAGAAACTATAGCCATTTCATTGTTATTACTTCATGGTTATTACTGAAACCAACTCACTTTCAGTAAGTCATTGAGCAACACAGAAATAACTTGACTACAGAGCATCATCAGCATAATTTCTGTTCTAAAAGTACTAATTTCCCTGAGCTGTACATCCACCTTTTCCTCTAGTTGTGAAGGACAGATTGTCTAACTTCATGGCGCAGTTCTGCATGGACACTGCAGTTAGTGTCTTCTGCAAAGTTCCCTTCCCAAGAAAAGAGCATTCAAGCTTATGCTGACTATTTGTGTGGAAACGTCAGATCTATTTTCTGAAATGTGGTGATGTTCTGGTGCCTTTCGAAAGATAAGCTCCCAGCCAGAGTGGTTCCTTACAATGTAGTGGTTTCCAGGATTCTTGAAGGAGAGAAGGGTGAAAGATGGAAAACCTAGGAGAGAAAAACGTGGGGATTGAGCAGGTAAGTTGTGAGACTGGAGGACAGCTGAACTGAGAAAATCAAATGAGGGTGCTGTCCGTGGGTTTTAAAAGAAGTGGAAAGAGTAGCTGTTTTCTTACAATTTTTCAGTAGCTTTGTTGATGACTAATTGTTTCACTTACAAAATAACTTTTTTGTCTGTGACTTAAATGAAATCTTTTCACTCTCTGCAAGAAAATATGAGAACTCACTCCATTTAGTTAAGGTGCATTTTTTTTCCTCAGAACACCAGCTTGCAGATCAGTTTGGACCAGGAAGTAAAGATAGATGCTTTTGATGTGTCCTCTATCATCTATGCCAGAGGTAGCTCAAAGTGCCTTCCTGCTCTGAGAATGTCCTGCCCTGAGATGACTATAAACATCAGGCTACTGTAACAGTGCAGATGAGCACTTTATGATGTGCTTTAATTGCAGCATGAGCAAGTGTATCTCACAGTCTCTAACCTTGCACGGGCAGCCTCCCCCTAGGGCCTGGCTGAGGAAAGCTGCACGGTGGCTGCAGATAAAGGCGTCTGGAGGATGCACCCAGAGCAGAGCTGGGTGGATGGGTAGGCCCACTTCTGTCAGAACTGCTTGACAGCAGTGAGCTGTTGAAACATTGAGTCCCGTGACTTCTTTTCTAGAGGTGTGTTGAGGAATGACTTATGATCTAAATGTTGAACTATGAGCAGCAATGTATAAATATTTAATCATTTGTCTTTATTTAATTCAGACATTTAAAATGTCTGAAAATTTTGTTGTCCAATGGCTTGCAAAGGTAAGTCTGTACATTTATATCAGGTGGGTAAACTGAAGGAACCCGGCCTAGGTTCACTAACTGCTAACTTGTAAGTAGTGATTTGTCCATTTTCATGAAAGAAGGAGGTGGCTGAGAGATACAGCATGAGTTGCCCAGCTTTGTATTATCATTCATTTGCTCCAGTGCGGAGGCAGCACACGAACCAATGGGTAACTGTGGGCTGCTTTCACAGAAAGTGAGATGCAAGTACAGCCTGAAGGCAAGCAGTAGTTACAGCTTTGCAACTACTGAGAGGAGAAACCATTGCTTCCCCCTTCATTATGAATTCTCATTGCATAAGGTGGGACTCCCTTCACAAGAATGTCCTTCATTTTCTGAAGAGCACACTTGTGGCTTCTGCCAGTTATCTCTGCCTTTCTTCCTACTACCAGGCCTGCCTAGAGTTTGTGCTACAGTGGCACCCTGCTGCTTTCTGTCCCTGTGATGTAATGCTATCTGTGCTGTGCTAACAAGGTTGTGGACCTGCTGATTAGGTGGTGGTGTAACCTGTGTTTTAACACCATCTGCAGTAATTGAGGAAAAATGGAACTGGTTTTTGCAGCATTTCAGCACACACCATTAAGGGTAGTTGCTTAACATGACCCTCTGGGAAAACTAATAGCATGAGTGAAGCCAATTTAAGGATCTTCCTCCACCTGTGCAAGGCAAGAGAGTCAGCAATACCTAATTACAGGTTGTTAGCAGTGTGCAGAAGTTCTCTCTCATGGTGTGTGTCTATCAGTACAATTGTGTCATTTCCATATTGCCCAAGCATGAACTGCAAATTTGCCCAAATGATATGAAGATGCACTGGAAGCATTGGGTGTTTGACAGTCCACAGACTGGCAGAAGGCTGTGGTGCAGCTTTGTCAGTCATGTTGATGTGGCTTGGAAACACCATGCACAAAAGATGTGAAAAACACAGAATGCAGACATACTGCAGCATAAAATAGTACTACAGACCAAAATAGTTTATAACAGGAATCCTTTTTGCACAGGTTGCTACCTTTTCAACATAACGAATGGTAATAGCTCCTGCTAAATATTTTCCAAATGCAGAAATATCTGGTGTAATGCTGTTTGGAGCTGAGTTTTCCTTTCTAAGATGACCAGTAGGAGATGTCTGGGGCATTGGAATCTTGAGGTAAAGAGAATCTGTTAAAGGTATTATCTTTGAGTTGGTTGGTTTGTTTTTCTAAGTTCATCTTCATCTACCCACCCCCAGAAATTCAAGCCCTGAAGAGTGGTGCAAAATGTGACTGTTGTTAAATAAATAAATAAAAGTTTTATTCCTTCACCCTCCCCTGAAATTGCCTTGCCTTGGTGAATACTGTACCACGGAGGAGGTGCTAGGTAACTGCTGCTTTCCTGTCCACGTTCCTGTGTTCTGTGGGCTCCCTGATCTCAGCTGGATGCTTATAGAGATGCAAATACGCCTGCCACTCTGTCCTGCATCGCAGCAGGTGCTATTTGCAATGTGTTTCTTTCTGAAATGCAACGCTCACTTCAGGTGAGTTCAGGTTTCACTGAGATGATATTGTCAATTGATTTTTGAATGTAAATTTGCCTTTCGATTGTTTTGAGGTATTATGGGTGTGCTTAAGGAAAATAGTTTACTGTACATGCACCGTTGGATCAATTGCTTCCAGGGGAGGGCGGGAGGCTGTGGAAAGACTGTGCCCTAAGGGCGGTGGGCACGGACCAGGCAGCCCAGGGCGGCGGGCTCGGCTCTGTGCCAGAGCTCAAGGAGGGCTGGGGCACCGTTCTCAGACTTCTTGGGTGGTGCCGCGCGGAGCCACGAATCGGACTCGCTGATCTTTATGGGTCCCTTCTAACTCCGGCTATTCCGTGATTCTACGCCGCCTCTCGGGCTGCGGACGGAGCGCTGAGGCAGCCCAGCCCGCACCGCATCCCCTCAGCCCGCGCTGAAGCGAGATGCCGTTACGGCTCCGCGCACGCGCCCCGTCGCGCGCCTCGCCCGCCAGCGCCGCCTCGCGCAAGGCTCCGTCTCCTCCCCCACAATGCACCGCGCCAGGCAGCCTTTGAAAAAGCGGCGCGGCTCGTTCAAGATGGCGGAGCTCGATCAGCTGCCTGACGAGAGTGAGTAGCGACCCGTGCCGCCGCCACCCCTTCGCCTCTCTGCCGGGCCACCCGTCACCGGTCCGCCTCCGTCTCGTCGCCGTCTCGCCGCGAAGCGGCGGCCCGAGCCTCCTTCCTAGCGAGTGGGCCACCCCCCCGCCGCCGCCGTCACCCGTCCCCGGCGAGGCCCCGGCCCGGGCGGCAGCGCGAGGAGGGCGGCGGGCGGGGGGCTCCCGTTCGGGAGCGCGACCCCGCTGCCCGCGGAGCTGCGCGCTGCGGGCCGCCGATCTGCCCGGGCGCGGTGGCCGAACGTAACTGGGAGGGGTGCGCGTTGCCGGGTGTGGGGGCGCGTAGTGCGGGCGGGGCGGGCGCCGCCGGGGGCTGCGGGCGCTGCGGGGGGCCGGAGGAGGCTTCTGGGACCCCGTGTTGTGTCTGGGGAGGGAAGATCGGTCCTGTGGGATGGGGGCACAGGTGGACGGGTGTACCCACGTCCAGACCTGTGTGACGGTGTGGGGTTTGTGTGAGAGTGGCATTCAGAGAGCGCGAGGACCGGGTGGAAACTGGAGTACGGATGAGAAGGGCGTACCTTTCTTTGTGTGTGGATTCGAACACCGTGTGCTTGAGTGCTATAAGAGAGGGCATTTTCAGTGTAAAACGTTCCTGCTGACATGTTGTCCTCCTAAATTATATGGCAGTCTTCCTAAGATGATGTTTTTCAAGTGAGTAACTGAAGCTGCTAGTATGCCAGGAGGAGAAAACATGAAGGGAAAAAGGGGTGAATAAAGGAGGAAAGATTGTGACTTACTTTGGGTTTTGTTTCGTTTTTCTTTGTGCTCTTCAGTGACATTAGAAGTAGTTAGTGGGACAGCATATGTGTGCTATGGTTTGTAGATGAACTATTAGCATGTGCCATAAAACCCCTAAACTGCCTGCTGGAAAAAATAACGCAAGGGTTCCTTGATACTCTGTAGGGGCTGAACAGAGCTCTCAGCCTGCAAGGACAGGCTCAGCAAAGACAGGCTGAGAGAGCTGCAGTTGTTCATTCTGGAGAAGAGAAGGCTCTGGGGAGACCTGAGAGCGGCCTCTCGGTATCTAAAGGGGGGCTGTAGGAGGGAAGGAATCAGATTCTCTAGCAGGGTCTGCTGTGACAGGACAAGTGGAAATGGTTTCAAGCTAAAGGAGGGGAGATTTAGATTGGACGTAAGGGAGAAGTTATTTGCAATCAGGGTGGTGAGGCAGTGGCACAGGTTTCTGAGAGGTGGTAGATACCTCATTCCTGGTGACGTTCAGGGTCAGGCTGGAGGGGCTCTGAGCACCTGATCGAGTGACGGGTGTTCCTGTTCATTGCAGGAGAGTTGGACTTAGATGACTTTTAGGGGTCCCTTCCAAATCAAATGGTTTTATGATTCTACGAATTGAAGCTTGTTAAGTGTGTGTGTATATATACATATATATGTATGTATAGTATGTGTGTGTGTATGTATGTATATATGTAGAGAGAGAGAGTAGTTTTAGTACTCTTTGTATTGCAGTCTTCCCCTTACCCTATTAGAGATATTTTGGAGCCCTTTTGTTTATAGTGATATGATGAGCAGGAGTCAGAGTCTATGGCTCATAGAATATCCTAGGTTGGAATGGACAGGGATCAGTGAACCCAACTCATAGCTCCAGTCAGCACCACCCAAAATCCAAACCCTTTGAGAGCGTTCTCCAAACAGTCCTTAACTCCTGTGCTGGGGCTGTGCCCACTGCCCTCTGGTGATGAACCTTTTCCTAAGCCCCACCTGATCTTCCACTGACACAGCTTCATGCTGTTACCTCGGTTTCTGTTACTGGTCACTGCTGTGCCTGCCCCTCTGCTCTGGCATGCTCCTCAGTCTGAAACCACTTGACACTGAGATCAATCGTTGTGTTTTATCGTGTGCTTTTGTAATTATTGCTGTACTGTAAGACCTGATACTTACAGCTGAAGATGGCATCTGAGTAAGGAAGGTTCAGAGACTGACAGAGGAAAAGATGGCCTTTGTGAGAAGCAAGTTGGAAGGCTGAGCCTGCGTTTCTTACAGGCGTGGTGCACGATGGTACTCATGGGTGAGGTGGAAAGGAGTGAGCGTGAAATTCGCTGCTTGCAAAGGGTAGGTGCATTCCTGTAGGCAGGCATCAGTCATAGCTACAGAAACTTGTGGGTGTTACTTTTGTGCAACTGTTTACATAGAAGTACTGGTCTGAAGTATACACTTGTATTTTTACAAGATCAGTGGTGTTACTGTTACAGGTCTTTGTGCAGCACCTTCCTTAGCTCCGGAATATGTGCCTCTTACAATACTGACTTAAAGGCTTGCTCATGAGACACAGATGTTGTAGGCTTACATGAGATATTCATGTTAGTTTATACAGGAAAAGTCACCTGTTTAATAATTAGTCACTGCATGGTAGAGCATGTTTTACAATATGCCGTATTTTTGCTATTTTGTTTTTAATGAGATTTGTTCTAAGGAGAGAAACAACTAGATTGTTAATGCACAAAGGCTTTGTTGCAATGATCTTTGTGTGGAGCCTGTTGCTGTTCTATGAGTTATAAAGCAAAAAGGAGTTTACAAGTAAAAGGGGGCCTCTCCTCAATGGCTTGGCCCAAAGTCTTGTAGATCACGTCATGACTATTGTCAGTGCATAGTCATGACAACAGGCATTTTGATAATGGATTTCAGTTTAATAGTTTTACATCCTTGTAGAAAGTGACTCTGATTGTTCACTAAATAATTCAGCAGTTCAGGAAGGTACGCAGACCAATAACCCTTTCTTTTTAAAGTTACTCTGCCGCTTTTCCGAAAAAAAGAAATAAAAATCACTCTTGGGATACCCAAGAGGTTTAAAATCTCTTTCAGACTTGCCACTTAGTGTCTATTGTTGTTCTGAATGTCAGCTCTAGCAGAACTGTGCTTACATAAAGCATTGCAGAACTGCAAATACACGCTAGGCTAAAACTAGGGCAGCTGGTAATTTTGGTGAACGTATGTACAACAGAGTAGTTCTGAATTTTTAGTGATGCTGTTTTGTGCACTGCCGTGGTTTGTGAACGTGCCAAATACTTCTGTAACAGGAGGTAGCCTGGGGTTGAGATCCTACTTCTGACTGCCTGGCGTGGATCTTACAGCTCTGACAACTGCAGGGAGAAAAGGGTTAACAGCGTGATGTGGCCAGTATCATTGTTTTAACCAAGGAGATTTATGAAGGATCATCGAAAACTAAGGATGGAAGCTTTACTCTTCCTTTGGTACAGCTCAGTTGTCTATACTGTACCTTGTTAGAATATGATAAATGCAAGTCACGGATCAACTAAGAGAGCCATAATTAATAGAGAGTAGCATTTTATTGCTTATTAGATCTATTTTCCATTATCACTGGAACAGTGTTTAGGTTACTGTTCCTACTTTGATCATACCCACACTCCAGAGAAAGCACTGTGCATTTCAAGAGGTTAAGTCAATATAGTTTTCCCTTTGGCACCTTTATGTTGCCTACAGAGAACCAGTGAGGTTTGCTAAGTGTGCTGTTTCACCTGGAACAGATACCCCAATGCACCGTGTTAGTGTCACGTAGAGTTGTGCTGTAGTACAAGCCCTTACCGTGGTGTGGCTGTCACTGAGTCTGCCTGGCACGTGGAGCAGACGCACAGTGCCTGTATTTGTGAAGGTCAGGGGTAAATACAGACCTTAGGAACAAGGTCAGTGCAGCAGAAGCCTCTGCTTGGTGCAAGTAGGGGGTTTTTAGTTGTTTTCATTGGACAGAGAGGGACCTTCATATTTTATGGAGTGCTGGTGAACTAATAGAAATGCGGAAGTTTTCAAAAGTATGTCTTGTGCTTCCATTCCTATTCTTTCTACTTTTGGTGAACCGGATGTTTTCCAGTTACGCTGTAACTGTCACTATATCTGGATCTTTTGTTTCCTATTCGATTCTTAGACCAAGCTTGTATTTTCATTCTAGGTTGATTTCACACTATCTTCATATGGCTTTCTGTATACAATCTAGTTTGTAAGGGTTAATAAGCATGAACATCACAAAATTGTGTTTGGAATCTTTCATAGTAGTATAAAGATAAGTGTCTGAAATGCTAGGGCAGCTCATGACTAGCTTACATGGGATCCTTGTGACTTCTCCAGTGTAGATTGTAGTCAATAGTAAATTGTAACTGGGTTTTCACATGTAATTCTAATTAGACACAGTGATAAGAGAAATGAAATTTTGTAACATGGTAAGACTATGCAGCTTCACTTTCAAATTGGAAATCTGATTCAGTGGAGCTTGTGCCAGTGTTCTGGTAGCACCTGCTGCCCTGGCAAGTTGTGTAACATGACTGGGCAGTGGGTACTTCTTAACCCAGGAGGGAGTTAACACCAACAACCTCAACAACCAAAAAGGTGGCAGTGTATGAATTAACATGCATTTGATGGAGCTGAAGGCTTTTCTCACTGGTGTTGCAAGGGGGAGAGGGAAACAGTAACACCGTGTGCAGAAAGTCCTGTGAAGAAAGAGAATTTCTATAGCAAAACCTGTCACTGAAAAATTCCAGAGTATTAAAATATGCAGAATTACCTTAAATACTGATCATTGGATTTATATTTTGAAGACAGAATTGTTTCTTCAGACGGTTGGGTTGATGCCCAATGGGTGACTAATTTTAGTCAGTTCCTTTTTCCTCCCTTTGTCTCCTGGTGATTCTGCAGCAGAGGTAAGCAGTGGGCAGTTGTACTGTGCAAGCCAGATGGCTGTTTCTCTTGCTCACAGAAGGAAAAAGCAGTTGATCGTATTAAAGTGTAAATAATGCTGCCTTTTCTCTTGCTTCTAGTAATACAACCTTATTTGTGAATTGCTTGGTTTTGAAGTACATGGAGTAAAGCTGAGGTGAGGCTATGATCCAGCACATTGTGTGCAAATGTGGTTAGCAGACAGGGTTAGTCCTGGCACACAGCTATGTATTTTTGCATTCCTGTGCACTAGTAAGCCCTCAGAATGGGTTC